CTTGCGGAGGAAAAGGCAAGACTTGCTGAGGAGCAGAGACTCGCAGAGGAGCAAGCTAAGCTCGCGGAGGAAGAGAAGCAAGCTAGGCTCGCGGAAGAGGAGGCGAGACTCGCTGAAGAGCAGAGACTCGCAGAGGAGCAAGCTAGGCTCGCGGAAGAAGAGGCGAGACTCGCTGAAGAGCAGAGACTCGCAGAGGTGCAAGCTAGGCTCGCAGAAGAGGAGCAAATCAGGCTCACGGAGAAAGAGGAGCAAGCTAGGCTCGCGGAGGAAGAGGCAAGACTCGCTGAGGAGCAGAGACTTGCAGACGAGAAGCTTGCAGAAGAGACGATTGCAGAGGGAAAAGTTAAGGCGAGTACTCAGGTTGCAGATAATGCATTGGATGGCAAAGAACGTCGGTCGCCGTTTCCCGAATTGGAAAGCCCCATACTAGGCGCTTCGCATGTTGAACAATCCGTGGGCGTCTCGAGTGGTTGGCCACTTCCTGACACGGAGGCCGGTTCCCATACCTCTACCTCTGTGTCCCTGGAAGATGCAGGCGCAACCCAGCCTGTTTCGCCATTATCTATTCATGAGCCTATAATGATCGAAAGAGTTACGCCGCAATTGGTCGATCAACAATCTCTGTCGTTGCCCAATGCCCACCGGAGCACCGAGCCTCCAACACCACCAATCCAGGATTCTCCTCGCTTCGAAGATAGCAAGAGTACTGGTCTTGTTGCCAGCTTGCGAAGCTCTCTCCTCGGAAAACCCCCTTTGCCTCCGAAAACCGCACCGTTGCCATCCACCCCTGTGAGGAACGCCCCGACTCACTTTTCGTCACCTTCCCCTTCGCCCTTGAGAACCAGTTTTAAGGAGAACCTGGGCTCAACATCACCCGCACCGTACCAAAAGCCCGCATCCTACTTTGCTGCTGTAGGGATCAAAGGTGCTCCTTCTAGAGACAAAGCCCTACCTTCACCCCCGGTTCCTCCCAAGGGTTCTCGAGCCTCCGTCGATCGATTCTCCTCGCCACGATCATCAGCTTCGCTTGTCCCTTTGGCTGACGAATCATGGGAAGCAATTTCCACTTTCTTCAGGCCCTTACCTAAATCAAGCGATCGCGTGAATGTCGATGCTCAGGTGCTGTTGGGGAAAGGCGGCGACGAAACGAAAATCAGAACCCTCAAACGCCAGATATGGGAGATCACAGGTGATGGAAAGAAGCAAGATCTTCCCGTCAATCAAGAGTATATTCTGTACGAGGGAAGCATGTACTTGTGCGTGCATATGTTTGAGGCAGACGGCAACGTGCGTTCTGAGATCCACCTCTGGTGTGGTGATGACGTTCCCGATGCGGCTATCGACGATGCCCAGCCCTTCTCTCGACGAATGGCGAAGGAAAATGGATGCAAGCTCGAAATTATTAAGCAAGGCAAGGAGCCAGCGCGGTTCATTCAGGCTTTAGGTGGCATTCTCATCACGCGTCGTGGTTCTAGCTCACGATCCAGTTCCTCTGCTATTTTCATGCTCTGCGGACGGAAGCACCTAGGACAGATGGTGTTCGATGAAGTGAACTTCTCGCCTAGCAGCCTTTGCTCCGGCTATCCTTTCGTGATCTCCGCTATGTTCGGCAAGTTGTTTCTTTGGAAAGGACTCGGCAGCTCGGCAGAAGAAATTGGTGCTGCGCGCTTGATTGGGATGGATCTCGGCCTCACGGGTGAATTCGAGGAAGTAGGTGAAGGAGAAGAGCCAGAGAGCTTCTTTGAAGTCTTCCCGCAGTACGAAAGGACGGCAGATGAGAAGGGCGCCAATGACTGGCGACTGAAGCCCAAGCTTGACCGGTATCGCACGCGACTGCTTCGTGTGGACCATGAGCTTGGTCAGCAGCGGGCTGGATTCTGGATGCGTCGAGCCGGTTCACCCTCCCCAATTACTCGTCCAAACGATACCGTGCAAGAGGTGGATCCATTTTGTCAGAAGGACATCAATGCCAAAGGGATCTACGTCCTTGACACCTACTTTGAGATTTATGTGTAAGTTGCCTCCGGGATCCGAACGACTCGAGGTCGCACGCTAAACATATGTTGACAGGATTGTGGGTGAACAAGCCTCAGCCCGCGCAGCTGAATTCGCTTCAGCGGTCTATTTTGCGCATGAATACAGCATCCTAGCGGCCTCTTTCCAAGATCGACCATTCATCCCGAAAACCTTCGTCTCCCTCGGCGGAGTTCCCGAGAGCTGTAGCAGTGTATTCCGCAAGTGGAACACGAGCTCGTGGCAAAGTATTCCGCAAGTGCTCCCTTTGAACGCGGCAATCGAGGCGCTTCGCAACCCCTGAATTCTGACCACCTTTCCTTTCCTTCCGATATTCTCAAGAGCATCATACCCTGATTTGTCTTCGGTATCTCTCTTTCTTCTGTTTCTCTTCCTTTCTTTTCGTTTTGTCTGTCGTTGATTATAGCGTCTTTGCATTTAGATCGTGCATATACTGGTCCGCACCAGAATGGTTCCTGGCAACAAGGTTTGAGGGGGAAGTGATGGAGGTGTGAACATAGAAAGTCTGGACAGTGGAGTGAAAAGGCGACCTTTTTTACGGCAAGTGTGTATGTGTCAGTGTACAGTATTAGGTTTAGGTTCAAGTTTTCAAACCAGCTTGGCATTATCAGAAGACTGCGTGCTTACTGGTTACTGAGAGAGGATCATGAGGCTTGCTTGGATGCATCTATGGTAATCCTATTCAACTAAGAGAAGCGTGTAAATCAAACATTTTCAATTCCAGAGAATGCGGAAGAACAGCAATCAAGTGTCAGAAGACGATTACAGTAAGCTAGTTGACTTAGTTCTTAGTTACCTTCAAAGATAAAGATAAGAAAGTTGTGATGGGCAATCGACCCACCGCGGCTCGTCATCGGCCGTTAATTTCCACCCCGCGCGCTCATTTAATTTTCGCCCCTCAGTGTCGCGCTGATTTCACCTCCATCTTTCTCCGCTCACTCACTCACACTCTCATTCTTCACTCTCTTCATTGTTGTGAGAGACTTGAGCATCTCTCTGTATAGGTCAGTATGCCTTGATTGAGCCTCAATCGGACAGAATAACCACCGTCAACACCATCACCACCACCATGGACCCCGCTATCCTTCACAAACTTTCGCAGCTCGATCCCGCCGTGCCCTTTCGCGCCACCACCGATCATTTGCATCACACCTGGGCCAGGACATTCTATTCCCGACCGGAGCTCTACGTCCGTCCGCAATCTTTGGCTGAGATCCAGAAACTCGTCACCCTTGCCCGTCACTGTCGCCGTCGTCTTGTCACCGTTGGTAGTGGCCACTCCCCTTCGGATCTGACTTGCACCTCCTCCTGGCTGGTCAACCTCGATGATTTCAGTCGCGTGTTGGAGGTGTCGCCTGAGACCGGCGTGGTCACCGTGCAGGCTGGAATACGCTTGAGGGACCTAGGAAAGCAGTTAGAGAAGCATGGCCTCACCTTGTCGAATCTGGGTAGCATCGATAGTCAGTCGATTGCGGGAGTCATTTCGACGGGCACACATGGGAGCTCCTTACAGCATGGCCTGATCTCGGAATGCATTGTGTCCCTGACACTCATGCTGGCTAATGGGCAAGTGGTGCGATGCAGTCCAACGAATAATCCCGACCTCTTCCGCGCCGCCCTTATCTCCCTCGGTGCCCTGGGCATCATTGTCGAGGTCACGTTACAAGCTGAGCCCACCTTCAAGGTCGCATGGCGACAGTCCCGCCGGAAGCTTTCGAGCGTTCTAGATGAATGGTCGACTGGACTGTGGACCACGCATGAGTTCGTACGGGTCTGGTGGATGCCGTATGAGAAGAGCGCGGTCGTTTGGCATGCAGACAAGACCGATCTTCCGGTGCGTCCTCCACCGAAGACGTTTTATGGCGAAACCGTCGGTTACCACATTTATCACAACCTGCTGGCCCTGGCCAATTACTTCCCTCGCATCCTGCCATGGGTCGAGTGGTTTGTCTTCGGCCTGCAGTATGGATTCAAGGAAGAAACCAAGGTCACGGAAGCCGTGGAGCCGGCCCGCGACGGTCTGCTCATGAATTGTCTCTACTCGCAGTTCGTTAACGAGTGGGCTCTTCCCTTGGAGAAGGGACCGGAGGCTATCACCCGGCTTTCTGCTTGGCTAAACGGCGATGCTGAAACGGCACGTATTCCATTCTCTGTCGACGGACTCTGGGTGCATTGTCCGATCGAAGTCAGAGTTGCCGATTCTACACTCAATAAGAACCCCCGCCCATTCCTTGATCCTAGTTGCTCTGACGGTCCGACCTTGTATCTTAATGCGACTCTCTATCGTCCTTATCATCGGGATCCCCCCTGCACGGCTCGCTACTACGAGGCTTTTGAATGGCTCATGCGTGAGATGGGAGCCAGACCGCACTGGGCCAAGAACTTCGTCGCAACGCGCGATGAACTAAGGCAGCTGTACGGTGGCGGCATGGACGAATGGATGAAGGTGCGCCAAGATGTTGACCCGGATGGAATGTTTCTGGGCGAGTGGCACCATCGCAATCTGAACTTGTCCGTTGGTGAGTCAACTGCTACGGAAGAAAGCCTCCCTCTTCTCGAACGGGAGAAGGCCCGTCGGAAGGCAGGTGTCCGCGGGGCGGGCGACGGCTTGGAGTGGATTGGTGACAAGAGTTGGCAAACGAAGCACGCAGGTGTATCCTTGTCCTTGCTCGAAAAGGAAAAGTCCTTTGCTTCGGTCGAAAGCACGGGTCTGAGTCCTCCCACAACCGCAGCCAGTGATGAGAGCTTCGACCTTCTTGCAACTGGTGAGGCTAGCATTGTTCTTCCTGATCGCCACTCGTGATCATCAATAAAGTAAAGACAATGAGATGGTGAGGAGCAAACACCTGAGCGTAGTAGTATGCGAAGTAGTAGGTAGTCATGGGTGGTGGGACAAAATGAGTAAGCCAATGGATCTTGTTGGCCGGTAATTGTCTTTGACAATCCTTGTACTTTTCAATGTATATTCTTTCCATTGATTTCTTCCACCTCCCAGATTTTGATGTGTTACAGAGAACGCATGGTCACTTTTCAGGCCTGGTCTTGACTGATCGAGTACAATGCCATGCGTCTTCACCTCATCGACTCTTCCTCTGATTAGCTGCTCCTTGTGTGCTACATCCCGAGTATGAGCTGGCATGCGGTGAATGACAATGGACTTTGAGGGTGCGTTCCATCTCTCGTTCACTTGCTCAGTGGGCTCAACTGAAGGAGTTTTCGGGGTAATGGGACTCCGTCGCGAGTATCCGGGTCTCATCGGAGCGGCTGATCCTCCTCGTCGACTATCGACATTGTTTACTCCCAGGTAGGATGACCCTGGATTACTTGAAAGGTCATCGGCTCCTTTACTTCTGTGGTATAACGCCGGGTCGCGTAGCGGTGTTCGAGCCAACATAGTCCACGCTCGGTGCGCGAGGGTCGTCCGGCAATGACGATTTTGAGGGCGGGTGCGTTTTTAGGCTATGTATACGCCCAAAGGATGGGTCAAGCTCTTCGCGTATAAGGTTGCTTTCGAGGCGGGAGACCTCCTCTATCTTGGGAATAATTGTCGGCATCCAAGACGTCAGTCAGCACTAACTACTCCTCCCCGCCAACCGCTAACTAATGGCATTTGCTTGCTTCTGCTGGGAATCTTACTCGATCTGGAGAGGCGCAAGGTCATCAATTCCTGCTCTTTCATTTTCTGCGAAAAAAAAAAGGCTTGGCCCGTCTTTTCCAGGAGCGCAAAGAAATGTGATCATGCTAGGTTATGCCATGCAATGCAGGTGATACCAGGATAGGGCTTCTGGCAAGTAGTGACTAGAATGAATGAATGGAGCGAGATGCACAGTGTACAGTACAGTATAGGCCGCTGTTTCCATTGTTCTGAAGATCATCATGAGACCTGGTCGGTATGGTGCCCGTTCGCGTTCCCTTTGGGGAGGTGAAAAGAGAATGGAGCGTATTGATGCTCGGACTCTCCGAGCTCAGTATCAGCTTTAGTTGTTGGCAGGCAGTGGAGCTGGAGCACCTCACTTGGGCACTGCTGGCACTGGCACCGCATCTGGGGGCGGTGGGGGGGCACCTGGGGGCGGGCACTGCACTGGGCAGAATGGATCCATTCTTTTCAATCGCATTTTCTTATCATCTTCATCAGGTTCTTCTTCATCTTCATCTTCATCAGGTTCTTCTTCATCTTCTTTCGCTACTTTTTCTCATGCTCTAGTTTGTCTGATGCTCTTCTTCTCTCCATTCGCCCAATTCTGGCTCTATTTTCCGCCCGAAACCATCTGCCTGACTAGAATCCAAGAAGGGCCAGAAATATACCCATGGCATGATGAGATTGGCGTTTACCACAAGAGAAAGCCGAGGCAGCTCAGTTCATCCCCGTCGCTTGACTGCGCCACGAAATTGTGACAGAAGATTATCTCAGTTGCAGCTCAGCATTGTTCAGCGGCCACAGGAAGCGGGGCTGAGATTAAGTAGAGTAAAAGGCTTCACCAGACGGACAAAATCGCCGCTTCTTGCAAGTGAGTCACTGAGCGAGTATCTGCAGGGTGGACGGGCCTTTGCTGCACCCAACTCATGCGGTTCGCTCGCACCCACGCAAGATCCTCGAGCCCCTCCCTTCCCCTCTCACCCAGTGTGGCAAAGAGAGGGGAAATGATCAGTAGCCCGCGACGCAGGTCTCCTTGCCCTATATCACAGAATCACCTCCCGAAAGTTCCTATAATTGGTTGTGGTTGGTGGCGGAGGGCGGTTATGATTGAATCCCAGGTTCGAGGAAGCCCAATGTGATGCTCCTGTCTAATCAATCAACCTTGCTGACCATCACAGACGGCAATGCAAGATACAGGTTGAAGGATCGGCAAGGCAAATGCGAGAATGGAACAGACATTCTATTGTAATTCTCTGTGGTCTATTTCACTTTTTTCCCTCTTTCTCTTCGCGTTGTCTTGCCAATTGTTTCCCTTCCCGTTTCTTTTCTTTTTTTATCCTTCTTCTTGATTTCTCTTTTCTTTTTCTTTTTGGGTTTTGGCGTCCACCGGAGCAGGTGCACGGAATCCTACGCACAACACTAAGCGCGGTTAACACCTTCTGCGAAACTCGGATTATGCGGTATTTCCTGTAAGACCAGCGAGCCGTGCTCCCCAAACGATGATGATGCAGGCGTACTTGGCCGATGCTCCCTCGATCAATCTTTGCAGCCTCGATGACGAACAATGCTATTGCTACGGTTGGCTCATGCCGGTGCTATTGATCAGCATCACAACATTACATCAGGTGATCACCTGAAGACATGCGCTGCGAGCTCTACTCTTCTTCGTGATTGCTACTGTCTGGCTCTCGCACAATAGCAGTGGCCCTGCCAGGCCTCAGCATTGAGATACGCATAGATACCGAAGGAGTTGACTTTAGAAGTGATACCCCTGCTTTTGTTTAGACAAGCTGCACCACTGCACTTTAAGCTCAAGACGGTTAGCTCTCTTAGAACACATGAGCAGCTTGCAGCATATGCTAGGAAGCGTGCAACGGTACCGACTTTCCCGCGACGCAATCCGAAGGGGTCTAGTGAGGTCCCGCTACGTATCATCACCACTATAGCCCGTCAAGCTGAGCATTCTAGGAAGGCTGGTTGTTTTGACAGGCGCGGGAAAGAGAACAATTCCAGCCGAAAATTACGGAAACTCGAAAAAGCAATTGTCAGCCCATACTATTGGGTCGATGTTGCTGGTCACCTTGCCGTAACGCTGAGCCCAGTGCGAGGCACGCGCTCATCAACGACTCGAGAATAGTCAGAGTGTGTGATGGCGCTGGTCATCCGTGTACCAATGGCAACTATGGAAGTGTTCGATAGTCGCTCATGAGGCATAAGCTGATGATGCTGAAGGCTCCAGCCCGTTTGAAACCATTTACTCTACAGCGGCATTGTCTGGCCGTGAGCCGACTCACCGGTAACCGGTTTTAGAGCCTATGTTATGATCGGGCCAAAAAGAAATTTTGAAGAATAGGGAGATGATGTATGACAGCCACGGAAACCGGAGCAAGATGCACGTCTGCGGGTTCAAGCCAGCGGACGAGTTTCCTCCGGCACCGGAAGGTCTTCAAGGCTCCCACGAGAATTACGGGAGAGAGAAAGGGAGAGAGTCAGGTTGAGCCTTGAGGGCTTACCTTACTCTGTCTGACTTTGGCTGCCCAAATGACCAGGGTCTTACCCGGTTAGTGCCGACAAGCGGTGCGGTGGCAGCGATGCGTATCCATCCCGTGGTAGCTCTGACGGCTCGGACCGTCGCCAGGCGTGAATACTGGCTACTGGCTACTGGCTACTGGCGTGTCTCGCGCCAGCAAATTTTTATCTGGTCACCTGTATCAACTAGCCAAACGGGCAGAACCCCCCCCACCCCCCCGTGGTTGCGGGGGACTCCCTGGTGTACGTACCTGCTAGGCTACCACAGCCACACGCAACGGCCTGAAGGACGTCGAGCGACCGGTCTGGTTGATATCTTGACAAGCTGCTTCACCACGTCACCATCATCACTGTCCTAGCGATCTACGTCCGATTCGGGCGGGGTCGTCATGTCGACATGCGTGCGCGGGGCTGCGTTGGGGTAAGACATGATATCAATAATATTTGATAGATATGTCTCTCAGCCTCTTTGTCCCTTGTCAGGTCCTCGCACCCCCACCTGCTTGTTCCTCTCGAGCGGCAGTCTGACATCCACTACCCCTCCCGGGGCCTCCTCCTCCTCCTCCGACTGAAAACGCCTTGCTCTCGATTAGTCAGACTTCAGATCAAAGTTCTCATATCAGACCCTTCCTGCCACCTTGATCCTTGGTGGGCGTTCAATTGCATCTCACTCCCCCGTACATGTTTCAACTTTTTCTGGCTTGTTTGATGCAAAGATGTCTCGTCAACCTAGCTTGCGACCCAAGTCTTACATTCCTGGTTATCCAGATGCCATGTATAATCTTGCTGCGGTGACCACCTTGAAGCAGCTTGAGTCCCGCGTGGGGTTGGCAGACGAGAAGCATGAGCAGCGTGTTTTTCGAGTCAAGCGTAAGCATGTCTTGAAGGCATGCGATCGTTGCAGAGTCAAGAAGACCAAGGTTTGTGAAGCATTGGTTGTTCCTAGAACCCTGTGTGCATCTTTCTCTACCATAGCACGAGCTTGCGGTCTGCGGTGATACTCATGGGATATTAGTGTGATGGGAAACAGCCATGCAACCGTTGTTCTGCGTACAACCATCCATGTCTCTTTCGGGAGAGGAAGGCTACGCAAACCAAAGTATACTCACGAGGGTCAGTTTCGATCCTTTTCTGCACTTATATGATATCTATCAAGGATCCCAGGACTGACTGGTGGATTGGCACATGTCTAGATTCGTTGAAATGCTCGAGTCGCACCACTCTCTGGTAGTCAAAGCACTTCAGCGGCTTTATAAGCTTTGCGTCAACAAAGAGGACTTCCCTGGGGAGCCACTGCAGGACGCACCCGACGGTTATCCTCTGACGCACGCTATCCTAGACCGATTAGGTCTAATCAAGCAAGCCGAGGAAAATGCGGATGAGCTGGAGGAAGAATCCGAAGACCTCCAGTACTTACGATATCTTTCAACCTCGACTGATAGTAGCGCCACAACAGATCCATCACCCGAACCTGCCACCCCTCCTGAGCCTTCACCAAGTGAATGTAGTCCCGCGCTCGCTTCGCCCAAATGCAGCGACCCGTGGAGATGGGACATGCAGCCAGTCCAGAATATCCACTCAGGGGGGTATCAGAGCTATCAACCACACACAGGTTATCAGACTATGGCATTCCCTCGCCCACATTTGGAACCTATGGCCCTTGCATGCGAACTGAAGTGCACGGATACTGGGCCATCGATGACTGCTCATGAGCAGCCATGTTACTACTATGTTGGAACCGACTCTGGCGCAGAATTCAGCAAGAGCTCCGGGCTGCCGGTCGGCCTAATGCAGCAACAACCTGTAATTAGATCCGGCATGTCCGTGAGCCTGATGAGTGATTATGCCTTGCACATCCCTGAACAGCACGCTATCTACCCACCTCCTGCGACCAGCTGGTCATATCGTTGTGATTAGCATAGCTCATAATCATAGAACCTGGGCACTCTGTCAAATCCCTGTCCCTCGTACTAGTGTACACCTTTCATCTCGTGATGTAACTGCACAGAGACAGGGTGAAAGCCACTCTGCCCATCATCAATTTCTCATTGACTGTGTCGCTTTGCCTATCTTGAAGATTTCATTTGCAGCATGGTGTTTAAGATCACGTTCATATACCCCAAGTCAGTTGTTATTTCTACGACGTGGGATGGCTATATACTCTGACTACAACAGGAATCTCTTTTTTCCTTTTAGAGGCTAACGACCAAGCTTTACGGGGCCTTCTACTACACTCCACGTTCCAGTTGTGAAACAGAACCTCGGGGCGAGTTTACTCCTCGCCTACACTACCCAATGCTTTTTACTTCCCGCACCGCACACCTGATGTGCCTGGTCGAGACGAGGACTAAAGACCCAACATAAGATACCATCACCAGGAGGTCCAAACAGGCTCAACCTGGCTACAAGGGCTATAGACAGTGCGGGGACCCCTTGGTATCTCGATCAAATCTTGATTCTCCAGATTTCCTCTTCGGAAAGATCTACCCTTACTGGAAACCTGAAACTGTGAGCTTTGCTAGTTGTAGTAGCTACAAGCAACCTACCAAAGAACGGAAAGAAACAGGTACAGGGGTTAGTGCGCAATGGCAGAAATAAAGTACGCCCACAAAAAAAAGACAAAAGAAAGCAAAGGAAAGAAGAAGACGACTGTGTGCATGAACATTGAATCCGTATCAGCTATTTTCAAAGGACTCGTAAGTACAATCAGCCGGTCAGTAGTCACGTCAGCCTGGAAAGCGGCACAGACTCTGCCCACGCTAAATAGCAAAGAAATAGCTGTTGATCCGGCGATTACCGCCATGGAGTCTCATCAAGTATGACCTCCTTGTCCAGCCCATGTCCCCTTGGAATCAAAACGACCCAAGCCCTCTGAATGCCACTCGAAAACAAGACACATAGATGTCATGGATGATGAACGAAAACCTAGGTATATTCTTTACTCGAAAACATTGAAAATGGTTTTAAAAAAAAAAAAAAAAAAAAAAAAAAACTGAAAAAGAGGTAAGAAGATCCGTTCCCGAAGCAAGATCAAACTAAGACAAGGGATGGTGAGCAAAGGGGAAGATAATAAAGGAAAAGAAAAGGAGAGCTAGAGGTATCATAGGACTTTCTTTTTTTCTTTTCTTCCTTTCCACGTATAGGTTGGGTTTATATGTTTAACTTTGTTTCCCTTAGGACGGACGGGTGGGAAAACATAGCCTCCCTCCGATTATGATGTTCCCTTTAATGCAAATATGCCCTTCAATCATCATCATCGATATCCGTCTCCGTGTTCGTGTCACTAGTATCGCCTGCATCACCATCGGTATCACTCTCCTCGTCCTCGCTAGACTCCGCCGAAGGCTTCTTGGCCTTCTTCTTGGGGGCTTGGCCGGTCTTTAGGGCTTGCATTTGGCCGGCTATCGAATCTATGATTTCAGAAATCGTTAGGTTCTCACGGTCTTTGATCATTTGTGTAAGAAGGCAATTGTTAGGGAACTCACCCTCATCAGGCTCACTGATATCATCTTCCTCGTCCAACGCCGCGGCCTTGGCGGGATCGTCGATGTGCAGGGTGATTTCCATCTTCGTGTCGAGGCCCAAATAACTGTCGCAGAGCATGTGCATCACAAAAGTGAAGTCACCGACCTGGGGTGGAGCCTGGAACTGCATCTTGAGGGTCTGCACGTTGAACGTGGGCTTGCCGGTGACGGGGTCGAAGAGTGGCTTGTCAAATGTGGTGAAGGTGAAGGGGGGCACAGCCATCTTGCCCTGTTTGGCGTCGGCCAGGAAGATATGCCAGCGCGGGGAGTGGTCGCGGGCGAGGTAGGGGGCGTGCGCGAGCGGAGGTTGAACGGGTTCGGACTTAGCTTCTTCCACCCTCTGGCCGTTCACCACCTTTGTCTTCTTGCCGTTGCGGCCCATGATAGCGTCGAGGTCATCCTCGTCAGGATCGATGTCTTCGAGGTCGGCGGAAGTAGGGGCGGGGGCGGGGGCGGAACCGGGGGGGATGAAGCGCGCTTTGACGACGAGTTGCACCAGACTGCTCGGCGTGATGACCTTCTCGCCCATCACCTTGAAAAAGGCCCGGGAAACCTCGAGAACTGGGAGTTGTTTGGCAACGTTGATGGCGGTCGTGTATTGCTTCTCATTCAGGAGGCCGGCGCCTACGGTGAGGCTGTAGCGCTCGGCTTCCGGGATGGACATGAACTTTTGCACGGTGAAGTGTTCCTTGTTGTCGGCACCTTCGATAGTCTGCACGAGTTTCGCCGTGAAGTGCGGCAACTGGAGGAGTGGAGAGGAGCCAGGTGCGACGGCTTGGATGATGTGCTGTGCGGTGCGGAAGGATCCGAGGATTGGTCGGAGATTACCAAAGGCAAGGGCGATGGCCGTGAAAGCTTCGTTCAGTGAAAGGGCGATAGGGGCGGCTTCATATTTTTCTGAGTTGGAATCAGTATGTTATAAATCCCATGTAGCTGATTGAGGGAGAGTTCTGACTTACCTCCGTTGAGCGTGGCGTCTCCCAGATCAACGCGACCGAGATAGGCCCAGAGTAACGCCAGCGCCTTCCGTCTGCTCGAATCATCGAGTCCCTTGATGACCGCGCGGTCCTCGGGAGTCAGATACGAGGAATCTTCCGCCAGGACCTTCTTCTCAAGCTTCGCCAATCCAGCATCGGACCGGGGTCCTTGCAACATCTCCTTAAACTCATCGCCGGAGGACAGCGCATTGATTATTCCGCCATCGGTGATGTCGTCTCTGTATTCCCGGAAGATGTTTCCAGCACTTGCGACGAGAACGCGCTCCTTGGTGTAACGCTGCGAGCCGTACCACCAGCGGCCGACAATGTATGGGAGAAGAACGCCAAGCAGAGCACCATAGACCAGCAGGGTGTACTTGGAGTAGCCTTCCGAGACAATGAACGTGGGAAGAGCAATACCGATGCTCATGCTCTGCTTGCCGTCTGGGTGGCCATACTGAATGTAGTTGTTGCGAACTTCCTCGTCGGTCAATGCCTTGTAGGCCTTGGTGAGCTCGACGAAGCGCTCGTTGAGCATCTCGATGGTCTCATTCTTGGCGGGATCGGGGCGGATCTTGTCGGGGTGGTAGACGAGTGAAAGGCGCTTGTAGTGCCTGGAGATCGCTTTCTCGTCGGCGCTCTGGTAAGAGACAAATAATGCCGGTTAGAACCGTTCGCAGGGATACTCCGTTCGCGAGGGACTCACCCGTGAGATACCAAGAATGTCATACGGATCCCATATCTTGGGTACTGTCCGTGCTGTGACGACGATCAAATATGCCATCCAAGCCATGACAGCGTAGCCCACCACGACTGTGACAATGCGCTTGATCCGACGTTCCTTGCGCAGACGCCTGCGCTTCTGCGCGTCAATGAGGTCGCCATGTTCGGGCTTGAAGTCTGATTTTATCCGCGGTGCGGTGTTCTCCAGTCCTACACAAAATAGCCAATCATCAGTTTCGGGAGATCCCAAGTTGCACCATAGAGGCGATATTATGGTCCGGCACTCACCCTTGCTCGGCCGGAGGAGATTGTACGTCAGAGGGAAAGTGACGAGACTCGTCAGGGTGAGGACGAAAAAGGGGAAGAATTGTCCCTGGCAATACCTGTCAGCTTCTCTTCCAGCCCACAAGCCCATGGAGATCCTACCTTGTCGTCATAGTTGTAGTCTGTCGACATGGTGCAGTAAATTTACAATGGACACGGTCGCCCGCAGCGGGCAGGACAAGGGACAAAGAGTGCAGCTCCTGGGCTCCAAATATGTGACAGGAAGTTGGATATATGTCCGATAAGGGGAAAAGCTGAGTGGAAAGCAGCACAGATTAGGTCGTTGAGCTGGTGGTCATGATCTCCCTACCAGTCAACGGTGAAGGAGTGTCGTGTGGTGGAAGAGGAAGAAGAAGACTACGACGGAGCATGTCCCGAACGATTAATTATCGTATCGGCGTCGGTCGTGCCTTGTGATCGACCGTGTCCTTTCCAGGGCGGCGGCGGAGCTCACCGCCTACTACTTCCAGCATTCAGGGTCAAGCCTCTTCCCGCTTTTCAGTTAACTCAAGCCATTTACGGAGTAGCTGAATGACGATGTAGACCAGAATGTGTGCGGGAAGACGTTATTTTTAATGTATCTTGTACTGTACAGAACCTCTCTGAAGGGTCATCGTGTACATCTAAAAAAAAAAAAGAAACATTCTATCTACCACGGAGTCGATAATGTCAGATCTCCGGTACTGACATAAACAGGCCATACAACAAGCATTCATGTCTGAGCTTTCATTTCATCATAAAAAAACCCCCATAACCTTTTTTGACCCCCATTTTTGGATAAAACATCTGTTTTTAGAACGCCAGCTCAAAACACTTTTGTCCAGCTGTCATGTCCTCATTTGTATATCGAGCACCAGGGGCCCCAGCACTGAGAAAAGGCGTGAGAATGGGAGATGTCCTCGCCAAGGCTGTGTAGACGGAGGTGCAGGAATGACCTCCACGCCAGCACCAAGCCAAGCTTGCGAAGGCAGGGAACTCAAGCATCACAATCCAGAGGAGCTGAACCGAGACACGAACTCAACCCACCCACAAACTCGGCAATGCCCGATAGCTAGAAGACATCGCTGCTCTCGACGTCACCAAGTCTTGCGAGGAAATATCTCTATACCAAAGTTCAGATGGCCAGGCCGTTCAGAAGACCAATCCAGATATAATTCCCCTCTTCGGGGAGTCTGATCCTTCATTGCTGCAAGTCATTGGCCTGGATAGTACCCAGTGAAATCTGGCTTCTCGAAGCCTCTCGGGAGGCTGGTGGGATCGCCGTTGGCTTTCGTCCTGCTGATGTCGTCGAGTTGTAGTGGCTGCAAAGGATGGAACAGCCCGGCCCGAGGATCCAACTTCAATTGAATTTGTTTTCAAGATCCATGCCATGTTGGAGATGCCCGTTGGGATATTTTTCTTCGTACTTTTCTTTTTTACTTTCCACCGTCTGACTGACACTTTTGAATCGTTGAGTTTTCAAAAGGGCCGACGATTTCCGCATATTTATGCGCGTCATCCAGGTAGTGCGTTTAGAGACTGGGGACTAAGAAGTAGCGAGTCAGCTTCGATGTTCTATTGATGAATTGAAAAAGAGCCAGGGGAAGAAGACAACTCACCAGTCGATGTAATCAAGCCCACCGAAATACTCCAGCATCCGATAGCAAAGGCCCACGTCGTCACCGGGTTCACCACCAAAAAGCCGACACTGCTCCGCCTCTATGTGGGAGGTTTCCAGCCTCATCGTGCGATGTCGAGTCTGCCATATGAAATCCCCATGGTGCCAGGTTGGGGCGGGAATTTCATGGTAGTCGAAAGCCGAAGGTAGGACTGAATTGAGAGGTCGGGAGATAGCTTCGATGAGGTTGAGGCGATTGTTGTTGTTGGTGATGCTGCTGCTGCGGTTTCGAGAGCGCGGACGAGTGCGACGCCTGTTGTGCCTCTGGCCCATTCTCTAACAGGTCGCCTATATTTTTTCCGCAGTTGGAGGAGGTTGATTATGTTGAAGGTTTTCGATTGTTTTGCAGATCAAACTGGGGAGGCTTAAATAGACAAACAACCACCCACCACAAAACAGTCGAGAACTGTTTCCGGGATATCTTTTGATTTATCAAACGGTAAGGAAAGGAGTGACCATCATCCCCGAGAAGGATGAGATGAGGTGAAGAGGGAGGAGAGGGGGGAGATCAGGATATCGAAGGTTGCGGAGCTACTGTATATATACTTGTAGTGGTAGTATGACTCCGGCTGGCTTTGCCGAAGGAGTGTTGGGCGGTGGTGTGACTCACTAAACACTTAAGGTTACAGAGGTACTCAGTACCTCTAAAAAAGAAAAAAAAATCAAAAAAAAAACCTAACCAGGCAAAGAAAATCTTCACATCCGGCTTCGGGACCCACAATGTCTTCTGCCCCCTAGTCAAACAACTCCACACTGATGCAGACGTTATTGCCAAAATCTAGAATGCTAGGAATGGTGAAATTTGATCTAATGTTCACCTTGGATTGCGTAGTTCTGGTGGCTCCCTTTCCGCGGAGGATCCAAGGGTTGACTCCGCAGAGTTAGGGCTCATTGTTACAAATTTCCCTCTCTTTGAACTCCTGAGTCCTGAGTCACCTCATCAGGACCCCATCTGAGGTTTTAGGCCAAGTCAACTATTCTTTTTGTGCTGCTGAGGTGCTAGACTATTCTATTTTGGTCTTCTTTTTTGAGTTTCAACAAAGACTGAATTTTTCCCACTTCATTCTCGGCCTGACTTGACTTGAATGCCTGACAGACCTGCAAAACTACTAACCAACTACCCAATTGAGGGGGGGTCTTCCCAGCCATGTCAAAGAGAACCACAACTCATGAAAGGATATCCTGTTTGTAGTAATTACTGTATAAAGGCAACGTTGAAACCAGGCAACCAGGGACATGGTAGCGAACCAGAAGAAATAAACGCAACCAAAATAAACGCAAAGCGTAAGTAGGCCAATGGAAGGGTGGTCTGACGCCATGCAGGCGGGATCCTCAAGCATTTCGGATCCGGACCAGGGAAGGAAGAGCAAACCATGCTTTCTCTCACTCTCTCTTTCTCAGAAGTCTGCCTCTCCATGGAGGCTCTGACAATACCGTACGCCCGTCATCGTACACGCCCCTGTACCCTAACCTCCAGTGGCAATCAAGTGGAAACGATGCCGTAACGGGCCGAGCGGGTGATGAGATTTTGTGTGACGCATAGTGCAAGATTGCTCAATTGTCAGGCCCTCAGAACTCACTCAGGTTGACAACATCCAACCACGGCAGGTTCGGCATGCATCGAGACTACGGGCGATATCGGGCTCGGGGCTTACTGTCCTGGGTCCGCGTCCGCGCCCTTTGTTCGTACACTATGTATGTACTGTAGGCACTAGGCATCCCTTCTTTTCCCGTTTCATAGTACGAGGTGTGGTCTAGGATGTCGATTTGTGGGTTGCCGAAAGGCCGCCGAGAGCCTTAGAGCTCATAAGGTCCTTGGATCCTTTGTTGTTTCGGGATCGACGGCGCTTGGATTGTCTTTGTGGATACTCGTGAGTTGGAATCTCATTACCTTCGTCGAAGTTGGAGAAGACTCAATCCTCTGTGACTTTTGAGGTTATTATTGCCCAATGTAGCTTCCGTATTGTGCGATTGGGCGGCCGCGGGCGGGAAAAACTCTATAGTAGGTGGGTTATGCTGTGCTTGGGTTGAAATGGTCGGTTTGAGGTGTGCTGAATGCAGTTTTGTTTGGATAGTCTGGGTTATGCTCTCGCAGGCAGAATTAGATATGCAGCGTGTACTCCGTACTCATATGTATGTACTGTGCTTATTGAACGTGCTACCTTCGCGCAAGCAAGTACCGTATGCACTGTACATTTACCGGTAGTATCTTGATATTCACATTATGAGAAAAGTGCTAGGTAAGCGAATAAATTCTGGGCAATGTAATTAATTCGATTTTCTCTCCACTTTCTCCATACGGATATTACTATAGATATGCTTCCTACAACTCAACATCGTTAAGCCATCAAGGCCAGCTCACAACAATTCATGTTACTCACTTCTGTGCACAACCACTTGACTTTCTTGTCTGTTCAATTCGCAGGCTGAGGCATAATTCACTCAAGCATCCGAAGTTACTCCGTCTGCAGCAAGCATGCAGTCTGCAGACGCCTTCCTGCTCGTCTCAGCGACTCACAACATGCAAGCACCTTGAAAGATATAGACCATATTGATGCACTCCGTAGTCTGCTGCTCCATAACTCACTCCCCACGCCTGTTCCATGCTTTCAGTTCAAACCCTACTCGAGCCATGAAGTCGACACCACGTAGGCAGAACGAGGCATAAACAATACTCACGGAGTGCCTTTGCGAGACAGCAGGCAAAGAAAAGGGGGGGAGGGGGAAGAAAAATCTGTCGTGTCGTGGCCAAATGCCACCATGACACATGTTCAACCGCTCGTAGCCGAGAAGGACCCTGTCCTAGACAGCCCTACAGAAGTTCCTACATGCTGTGTATATATGATGGTGGGAAAATGTGAGTTGTCTCTTTCCACTTTCTGTATTTCATCCTGTTGTTCGGGTTCTAATCAGCATAGTTTGGAATTTATGCAACTGCCTGAAGCTACCGGTAATTTACAGTACATTTGTTTAAATCCTGGTTATAATCTTGTTTGTAGTATGAGCATGGGGTCAATCATATTGCCTTACTCAAGTTTGCTGCAACTCTGCAACCACATGCCAAAAGCAAATAGTAGGGAGTTTGCTCTGTCTCATCCTTTCATGACGCCAGTTGTGAAGATGCTTTTGTAGTCATCCCATTCTCTTGAATCAGATCACAGAGGGCTAGTAGCTTTTCCAATCCTGAAACCTAGGCCGATAGCCTTTAGACAATGAAATAGGGTCTCTGCCTCGAAAAGGAGGTTATAGATGACATATCCCGACAGATGTAGTATCATCTCGCCAAACCCTACTACTACCTTACGAACAGATGTAACCCGTCATTTCGTCAAACCTTTAGCAATTAACAATGCAAGTAGCCCAAATCGGATCATACCAATACGTAGTACGGCTGCTAAAATGCGAACCCCCTTTTTTCCTTGGGGCGGCTACGTAGTAGCAGCTTGCTAGCCCAGCTGCAGCCTGCAATCCCACCGTTGAGACATGGGGAGTGGGATTTTGTTTGTTTTTTTTTTTTCATTTCCCGTTGTCGTAGTACAGTGTGTCCGGTCTCGCAAGGTAGACATAGTAGATTGGATAGTCGAGCATGTAATTGTGTGTGGTTTGTGCCTGGACTTGTTGTGGAGTGGAGACGGAAGCGGGCTCGGAAAGATCGTGAAGGCTCTAGTGCTGTCTGGACTCTGGAGTCCTCGGGTTTTGTGTGCCCGGGGCCCGGAAAAAAGAAGGGGGCATGGTTATTCGCGGCGCTGCAGGTTTCGGTCTAGATTGGAATCAATTGACCGGTGGCCATGGACTGACTGGGTCATTCTCCGCCAGGGTGGGTTTGCTGTGGGATCAATCGGTAGGATCATTAAAAAATTGTTGATGGACTCCATAGAGTGACCGAGCTAACATGCGCATCAGGGGACATTTTGTGCCGCTGGTGCTCACGCTGCCGCTGAAGACAGTTCGGCCATATTAGGTACAGTCTCCGTACATATCCCATCAACTACGATAAGTACTGTGCAGAGTACGATTTGAAGGTTCGATCTCTGAGATACGCTGGGTGAGATGCCTGCTGTGAAGGTTATAGATTTCGTTTCAATATTTGTATAGCCTGAAAAGTAGGGTTATGGTAGTCACAGGAAGAAAGAAGCCCACAGAGTCTTTGAAGCACTACTCACATTTCGACTCCATCAATGATAATGTCTCTGACTGAATTAGTAACGATCCACACACGCTAAACGGTCTAGACAGTCGAAGGGCCTGTGAAACACGGACTGGATTCCGCCAAGCAACCCGGGATACAAAGCTGTCTACTACTCATGTAGTGTACTGAGGAGAAAGCAGTCAAGATACAACTGACTGATGGCCCCCCCGGCTATTGCCGATCCCGCGACGGATGATCTCCAGCATCTCCTTGCCCTTTGGCGCTGTCGTCAGATTCTCGTATCCCGTCCTCGTCACTAGGATGTCGTCCTCGATCCGCACTCCACCGACTGGGATGTACTTCACCGCTTCGACGAAGTTGATGTGTCGGGCGAGCGGTTGCTTCTGAGCATTGGCCAGCGCCAATTGAGAGAAGTAGATGCCGGGCTCGACCGTCACCACCATACCTTCCTCTAACACTGGAAACGAAAGGCTAGTGGGCGGCACCAGGTCGCGTCTTCCCCGCTGACCCTGGGCCGTGATTGGCCTCTCCGAGACGTCGTGGACTTCCAGTCCGACGTGGTGTCCCAGTCCGTGAGGGAAAAAAATTGCCGACGCCCCTGACTCACGGATCTCCTCTACAGGTCCAGGCTTGAGTACGCCCAGTGCTTGTAACCCTTGAATGGCAATGTTGTGTGCCAGGAGCTGTAAGTCTCGAAATCGTACCCCTTGTTTGATGCGCCGGATACATTCCTCTTGCATCTCCTCTACAATTTGATAAACGTCGCGAGCATACTCACTGGGCCACTCCGCGCCCAGGGGAAACGTCCGAGTGACATCGCTCGCATAGCACTCCCACTCCGCCCCCGCATCTAAACAGACCAGCTGTCGACCTTTCAGAGGCTCATTGTTTTTGATGTAGTGGAGGGTCGCGGCGTTGGGACCCGAGCCAGCAATAATCTCGTACGCTTGGTTCTTCGCGCCGTGAGACACACATGTGGCCAGAAATAGTCCTTCGATCTGTGTTTCGTTGGTCATCTTGTGGATCTTCTCCAGCACCTTCCGATGAGCCAGGCCAGAAATGATGTTTGCCTGGCGAATTAATTGGATTTCATGGCTGTCTTTGATGACTCGAGCCGCATCCATCGCAGGAAGCAGGTGCTCGTGGTCTATCTGGAGCTTGGTGGCTGGTATTTCGGGTTGCTGAGACGTATGAAGAACATACACGGGCGCGGTGTCGTTGTACCCTTGGGCCCAGGACGCGATATCTTTGTCTAGGGAGGTATGGTAGCGAACTCGGTCTACATCAAACCGCCGTTGAGCCTCGTCGACGGTCAGCGTGGGCCCCATCCAGATCGCCCGATGCAAATCGAAGTCGGGAACATAGAGAACCAACAGGTCTTTCTTGATATCGTAGGTCAGAAAGCAATCGGGTTCATCCACGCCGCTGAGGTAGTAGAAGTAGCGTCTTTGTCGGAAGGTCTGCGGTTGATCCGAATCGCCCCAATTGATTGTTGGTGTGCCGGCAAGATAGATAAGGCCGCTAGAAACCCCCAGTTTCATCGCGACCCTGCGCGCATGCTGCTTGGCTGTGCAAACTGTCTGTCAGCGTCGAACAAATATCCAACCAAGTGTTTCTATCGAAGAAAGGGAGGGGCAGAGCAAACCGGCAATTAACATGCAAGCATACCTGGATATTTATCGAATTCATGGCCCTTGACGGACCAGCGAACATTGCAGACCTTCAGATCGGAGACAAGATCCGGATGAGCTGAGACACGCATTGCTTGGAAATTCAGGCGCTAGCCAAGACGTGAGGACTAAATCAATGTGTAGAGCGCAGGAGGGGATGGCCCGGAAGTAGGAGGATTCCACGCAGGAGGAAGGGAACAAAGCACAACGATGAGACTAGGAAGAGAGGGTAACGAAGGAGGTGAGAAGATCAAGCGTGGAGATAAGCGCCTGGCATTTGATTGTGTTTTGGAACGCGGGTCCCCTGAAGGGAGGGAGGGAGTCAGTTAACGTTCCAGTTAGTTCATAGTCTAGTCCGTACGCGCCAGACGGAGCCGATACGCGATCTCTACCCGCAATGGGGTAAGAGTGACTGCGGGCGATCCCGTATCTGTTCCGTATCTTACCAGTCCCGTACCAGCGATAACAATGAGGATGTCATCATCATTTTTCCTCATGTGGTCGCGGCCTTGCATTGCATTGGAGGGAGAGAGAAAACAGGCAAGTGCTCCGTACTGTGCAAGATAAAGATTGATCCAGGAACGAGGGGTTAAATTGTCCCAGTTCTGTACCTTATGACTAGAATTCCGGTTGAATGGGACATTCAGCCAGCCAGCCAGCCAACCAACAAACACATGCACTCCCTCTCTGTCTTAGACCCTTAGCGAGGGCCTGGAATGGTTGCTGATAAAAAAAGTGGCTTGATACGCCGTCATCCGAACGCATCGCCCGGAAGCGTCGCTGCCTTTTGCCCCCCTCCCCACATGCGCCTCTCGGGCTCTCACTTTGGCTCTCACTCATCTTTCACTCTCTCTTCCTACTCTTCTGCCTACTTTCTCGTTGAACTTTCGGGCTTCATCATCTCATAATCTAATCTCTTCTCCCGTCTCCTCCGTCATTCACCTCACCTCGTCCCTCATTGTGATATTGTTTATCTTTTAGTGTTCCCACGTCACCGTTCGTTTGGTTGAATCCTGGTCCAACCCGTCCCTTCTCATTACCTATCGTATAATCGGCCAGCCTGAGACATCGAGCCAGTCAATGAACGATGCGGGCATATGAGGCAGCGGCTGCCTCTGGCTATAATATTCCTTCGACTTTAGTCAACCACTTTCCAGCCACCATTGCTCATCCGCCGACTGATCCTCACCTAGCGGCATCGAATTCCGATCATGATCGAGTTCTGTCGGCAATGCCCCAAGACAATAGCGGTCTGGTTGGCATCAGTGGCAACTCCTCCGGTTCGACCGGGAAGGGCATTCTGATTGGCGTCCTGTCCGCTTTTGGCTCAGCAGCCGTTGCAGTCCTTGTTCTCGCGGTCTTCTTTTTCTTCAAGTACACTCAGCGCGGTAGGATCATACTCGATCGCATCGGCCGACCCGGTGAGTTCGACGATGAACAGGCGTTCTTGCGCGAGGAAGCGGAGGCTCTGGAAACCATGGATGATTTGTCGCGGTCGGAATACTTGCGAGCAAAAGGTGAGTTTACTCTTCTCCGTCGCTCGATGCGGTCGCCACCAGTCGCAAAACCTGTAGCCTGTCTCGCGTGCATTCGTGGCATGCTAATTTGCTCGGTAGCGTTTATCGAGGCCAACCCACCCGAGTCTACGCAAACCGACATCTCGCTGTCTCAGTTCCTCGCGATCCAAGAAAAAGGAGTATCGGCCTGGGAGTTTCAACCCGAACTAGAGATCGCCAACTGCTTTGTCGAGGGTAGGACTGAGATTGAGTTCTATGATTCAGAATGCAGTGTCCAGACCAACCTGCCGGTTCCGAAACAGAATGACGTATATTACTGGGAGGCTAAGATCTATGATAAGCCGGAGAACACCCTCATCAGTATTGGCATGACCACGAAACCGTACCCTCTGTTCAAATTACCAGGTACGTCCCAAGGGTCATAGATGGGTGATTCACCCTACTAACTCACTATCTACCTGACAGGGTATCACAAATCCTCGGTCGCATATCAGTCAACAGGTCACAGGAGATACAATCAGCCTTTCGCTCCAACGCCTTATGGTCCCCCGCTTCTCCAAGGCGACGTTATTGGTGTTGGGTATCGACCGCGCTCAGGCACGATTTTCTTCACTCGCAACGGCAAGAAGCTAGAAGATGTGGCGCACGGACAAAAATCCCAAAACTTCTTCCCGACGGTTGGGGCCAACGGACCCTGCACCGTGCATGTGAACTTTGGCCAGATGGGTTTCGTTTTTATCGAAGCGAATGTCAAAAAATGGGGTCTAGCTCCGATGACCGGCAGCCTGGCGCCGCCGCCTCCTTATGGGAGCGAACAGGGCAGCATCCTTCTCGAATCTGGTCGAGAAAGTGCTGCGCAGATATCACAGCGAGTATACCAAGACGCCAATAATGCACGAACCAGCTCTACCCTCAGGTTCGGTCCATCCGTTAGCCCGGGTCCCGTGCGTTCTCCGACCGATATCTCTCTCGCCCAACTCGCTCACATACCCTCCCACGAAGATGTTGGTGAAGGCTCAAGTCGTACCAATGCTGGAGACACTGAGCAGGCACCCTTGTTGAACACGGACGATCTCGATCAGGTTCCACCTCCGGAGTACTCGAGCCCAGATGGCAGCCGAAGAGGTGGCGATGATATCCCTTTCGAGGATCAGCCTCCGATACCAAGCTACGATGCTGCGGTCGGCAACCGTAATGATCACGATCCTTACACGGATGAAGGTCATTGAGGGTGCTCTTCCTTCCGTTCCGTGATGTTCGTCCATATGTTCCGGGTGTGTATAGGGTGTGGTAGCCATTGAATCTGTCGGTATATTTATTCTGTTCATCTATTTTTTAGCGGCCACGGCGGGCGTTCTTTCTCAAGGCGAACTGTTTTTCAGGCTGGGTTTCATGGGTTCGCCGCTAGATGTGGCAATGATGTTCTGGCTTTCCTTTGCGTATATACGGTTCGGTCACGGTGTTGTTCGTTTGCGATTTGGCTTTGGGAGTCATCATCTCTCACGGACTCTCAGGCGCAAAGCTGTGACTTCCGTTTCTGCGCGGCGTACGACGACTTCTTTTCCTCTTGGACTTCAGCGTGTCCAATGCGACAGTGTCGATGATGATATCCCCAAATTATCTTTCTTTTTCTTTTTCCTTTTCTTCTCACTTTACTGGTGTTTGCACAGTACAAAATCCATCATTCACCTGATGCTATTCTTGAGCACTTGGGTGTTCTTCTGTAAGGCATGCCTTGGCCTGTCGCTGGGCTTTCTAATTCGCACGTGGGTTCTTTTATAGCAACCGACCTAAGCGCTTGTGTGGATCATAAATATCGACGCCATTAGCCACGTCCCATGCTATCGAGAACCCCTCTTGGCTTTTGATCCACAAATGGACCGGAGCTTCACTTGAAAATAACATCCATGATGTTTGGGCCGGATTGAGATTGTTGAGAAAGGAAAAGCATGCGCCAGCCGCTTAGTTTGATAGTGTCAAATCCTTGCTGCAAGGAGATTCAACTTAATGGTCAGACCTGTCAAGTCAATGGCACGGTGAGAATTGAATCAACGATGTGTATGAGCAATCTGGGGTAAATTAAATGACTAAAGGAGATATGACTAAAGGAGATAATAGAGAAGGAGATCAGAAGGGTGATGTAGACAGTGAGTGGTTCGTGGGGTTAAACTAATGGAGTCTAGAATCGAACCTTGAAGTTAGCTTTACTTACTCAGTTAACTTGCCCAGTAACTTGAGTTACCCACTGCTCCGCCCATCGAACTTTGAATCAACCCGGCCCCGGGTGGAAATCACTCTTTCTCACAGGGCTCTTTTCTTTTTCTTTCTTGCTGCCCCCCCCTCCCCCTTTTAAGTTTGAGGCTGTTGATTTTCTTCTTTCCAGATTGTTATATCTGTTGGTTCAACCTTTCCTTCCGCTGTGTTTCATTGAGCGTAAGAGGAAATAAGAGCAGCGGAGGCTAACTTACTCATACTATCAACTTATCGTCTCACGTCATTACCCGCCAGCCAGCCTTCAATTGATAATTGATTGCGTTGTACTCCGTACAGTATCTGTACTTGTACCTACCTTTTCTTTTTTACCTCAACTTGTCCTCCAACAACAAGTCACTCCCTCCTACTACCTTTCCTTTGGCTGATTTCTTTTTAAAATTCTTGACATTCATGATCGCGTCGCTCCTCTTGACACGTGAAGGCAGTCAACTGGTACAAGTTTGCCCTCCAAACGAGGGGCGCATTGCGAAATCCTCGTCCAGCTGCTAAGTTATCGTCGGCGTCATCGGGTGCTCGATCCGTATTTCCCCCTCCCCACAGGTCCTCCGTCTCTCTTCCTCTCTTAACTCACCACCCCAGTTGATATCTAATAAGTGATCGACCCTATCATACGCATGTATCGCAAACCTACTTCTGCTTCTCTCGTGTCTCCGTCCCCCGGCGGCTTCCCTGATACAGTGCCCGACTTCAAAGGCACTACTCTACGAGGCTTTTTGATCGCCAACGCTCCTCCGCCCACTTGTCAGCCACCAAATCACTGGGGCCCTTAGGGTGCGCATTAGCGTCTTGCTCCCAACCATTGGGGTGTGACAGAGCTGTGCCCCAGATTCGTGGGGTAGCACCGCCGGGACTCTCTCAAATCTCTCGCTGGCTGTCACTTCAACTGGAGGAGGACAACCAGTTGGGTCTACCGTTTCTTTCCTCCGTTTCCTTGTCCTGGTGACACAGCTTCGAGCAAGGAACCTGTTACCTGCTCGCGACAACCGCCGGAAGGTCAAATCAAGGAGGGCGGCGCTTCTTGTACCGTAACCAACCATTCTGCGACCAACCGCTCTGTCGCGGAGAGTCTACGGTCACATCACACGCTTCTCACTGGAACTATCTTGAATATCGTTTGAACCTCTACAGGCTAAGATACTTTTCGATTTGCCAGAGAACGCTTTGGGCGCAGATTAGACTCCAGCAGAGACTGACGCGTAGGTCGCAACCACCAGCGTCATAAATCCCATTAGGACGTGTTTCCGTGCAGGAGGCCGGGCATTTGGAAGGGGCGAAGAAACTACTTGACTAGGAACGGGAGAAGTGTGAGTCAAAAGCCTGCCTTACGTGCTACACCATTCCTTCGTTGCTTTTCTATGCTCACAAGATGATCCCATCAGAAACGGCTCGAAACATGCAGCAAGTGGGGGAACGCGATGGTGAGGCAACGCCTTCCAAGGGCAGTGAAGGAGGAACCTCAGGTTTGCAAGTAGTTGTCCTGGTAAGTTAGCCGCGACTTGTGTTTGTCTCACACCCTGTGTCTACCAATCGATCCATATGGCTTGTTCTCCGGTTTGATATGCTGTGCTAAGACATGCCGGCCTCAATCCTCTGGACTTGCTCCACCCTCACTATGCGGTTTGGCACCCTCTCGCTGCATCTGTGCAGCTCTCATGGTGTGACTTCTCTCCGGTTTCATTCGGCGTCGCCTGCATGCAAAAATTCGTGGCTAACACTTGGTTGAAAGGGCCCAACGGGAGGTCCACGCGAAGATCGGGTCACAGGCTTACTGGTTCGCTCGACATCGAGTAAATGGTCGGCAAATTCGGTAATCGCAGTGGATGCAGGGACCCTTCTCTGCGGAGTCATCAACATTCTCGAGCAATTCGACAATCACCAAGCTGTCTTGGACGTCGGACCATTCAGCGGCCTCGAGCTGCCTTGTAACAATGCTCCTGCGAACGCGGCACATTTCTTCCGCCACATTATCGGTGCCATTCTCATCACACATCCCCACCTGGACCATCTTTCAGCGTTCGCAATCAATACGCCAGCCTTGGAAGCTGGAAATGGCGCGAAAACAATTGCGGCTCTGCCGTCCGTGGTCACTGCCATCAAGACCCACGTATTCAATGATGTGATCTGGCCTAATTTGTCAGATGAGGAGGGGGGCGCTGGGCTGGTAACTTATCAGCGCCTACGCGAGGGAGGCGAAGCAATGCTGGGAATTGGTGATGAGAGGGGATACAAACGAGTATGTGAGGGGTTGGTGGCGAAGTGCTTTGGTGTTAGCCATGGAAGCTGCAGACTGCATCCTCCTACGGAGAACGACGTCCACCATCGGCTGAGCAGCGCAGCCTATGGCCCGGGTCCGATGAAAATCGGTCCTGGGGGCTTTTCATTTTCTACAGATGAGCTAGACACGGGGTAAGCTTAGATGTAGATTCACTGGTTCGCGCATCGAAGGGTACTAACTTGAGGTCAGGTACTATTCTCCGGTGGACTCGCCTGGTCTTCGGGGTCCTGTAAAAGAAAAATGGACCACAGTCGAAAGCTCTGTCTTCTTCATACGCTGTCCGATCGCGAAACGAGAAGTGATGATTTTTGGTGATGTTGAGCCTGACTCGATCTCCCGGAACCCGCGCAACAAGCGCGTCTGGGAAGTAGCGGCACCGAAGATTGCTAGTGAGCAGCTGCGCGCGATCTTTATCGAGTGTTCCTACAACGATGACGTTGAGGACGATTATCTTTACGGACATCTTTGTCCACGACATCTAATCTCCGAGTTGACAGCGCTTGCGAGCATTGTGAAGGAGATCAAATTTCCGGAATCCAATGCAACCAAGAAACGCAAACGTGCGTCCGCTCCCGATGTGGGTACAGATGTACCCCTCAGCCCCAAATCAAAGAGACTGGCTCTCACGGGAGAGAAGGGCCAATCTTCGAGTCGCCGAGGATCCAACCGAAGCACCCGTCGCCACACCCGTGCCAAGGCATCATTCGAGGAGCCCGATGAGAAGCTAGAAGGAGGAAGCCCAACCGTCTCACAACCGGCGACTGATGTTGGGATCAATACACAACTCGCCGAGAGTTCTGATCCTCTCACAACACACACATGGCCGGAGCCGCCCCTAGCTGGATTGAGGGTCTACGTTATCCATATCAAGGATCATCTGACCGACGGTCCCCCTGCAGCGGAACGCATTCTTCGTGAACTCCAAGCTCAGGGAAAATCTGCCGGGCTGGGATGTGAATTCCGTGTTCCTGACCGGGGGGAGAGCATCTTCATCTAGTTTGGTTGTATGGCCATTCTCTACTTACATGAGGTTATCTCTAGATGTCTGGTCCACAAGCAGCATCATAAATATGTGCTTCTGAGGCTGATCGAGGCTGTCATTCAGCTGCCCCGAGAAAGGCATTAAGCCTGCGTTGTTTCTATTCTTAATACTGTATAGAGTTCTTTGAATACCCACATTTGCTAGGACGTTGTTTCACTTGTGGTCTACGCGTTGTACGTCCCATCGCTGCTAGCAGCTATTGTTATTACTTGTTTGTTTTCTGTCACGAAGTGTATTCTTAGTAAATCAGTTTTGACTGCCTTACACGGGCTCAATGAGGCTATTAGCCTACCCACATGGCATATTATCAGCACCGAAACGTAGTCCCCTTGTTCGGCAGGAACCCTCCACATAATTATAAACCACAAAGAATCGCAGTCAATGCTTTTTGTTGACAGCTCATCGACATATCATCTTTCGTATATTGTTCAGATATCAAGCGGTACTTGCCCTTTTGGCCAACTCGATAATATCCTCCCACAACGCCCCCTCCCCACCAGGAACCCTGATACCTCCTCCTCCCCCTTCAGCAGCCCCCAACACCCCCTCCAACTCCCTCGCAAAGGTAATCAACTCCTCCTCCTTTCCCCACTCCGCCATCGCCATCAACCCGACCGGAACCTTCCCACCATCACCAC